CGCCACGAGGCCGGCGACCCGAGTTCCATTACCGCTCGCAGCCGGCACCGGTGTCGATTATCTGAACCGGTCCTGGCCCTCCTCTAGGTCGACTCGGCCTCAAATGTTTAGCTGTTGCGATGTGTAAACACCGCCACTGGGGAGACAAAGGCGGCCGTCGTCGCGTGATGCAGCGCACGCCGTGCCGTACCATCGTAGGTGCTCGCTAACAGCACTTGCCCCACAATCTGTTAAAGGCTATACGGGGGACCTTTGTACGAGCCGTACCCCCCCCCGGCACTCCTCGCACCCCCCCCAATCGCGCTCATTAATATGCAAGGAATGCGTCTCGGCGCTGAGCGCCAGCACCATCACAGCCGCCGCGATGTTTGTGGCGGTGCTGATGATGATGATGACGATGCCAAGGCCGCTTTGCATTCACCACGCGGAACGCACGCACTGCCTCGCCACCACCACACACACCACCCCCCTCCCCCATCCACCACCCGCCCGCTACCTCCTCCCCCACTATCTCCCGCTGAAATAAATGCCGAGGCATGGGGGGGGGGGCTGAGTGGGCATCGCGGGGGAGTGGCGGGACGGCGGGGAGGATTGGAATGGAAGGATAATAAATTAGCAAGCAATCCGCCCTCCTTCACATACTCGTCCCCAATATGTGCAAATATACGTAAGTCTCTTTTTTTTTTCTCGACACATTCCATCAGCCACCACGGCCTTCTGGGAGCGCATTATTTCGGCAGCGACGATTCAACGCAAGCCGAGTCAGGCTTTGCTGGAAGCAACACTGGCCAACTGGTAGTCAGACACCCGTTTAGTGCAGCGAAAGAGGGTCAGCACCCGAAACGTCGCCTACTACATGCGTGTTTTTTTAAATATATTTTAAGGCCACACACACACAAACACATTGTGTTGATATTAATGACTCTGTACAGTTTGTTGTTGTTGTTGTTGGACGCAGAACGATCAGAGGCATCACCCCGAATCAGCCTTCTTCATTGCAAGGCCCGCGCGCCGCTGGAGGGTCGCTGGTGGCCTTCAGTGCGGCCCCCGACAACGCGCAACACGTGTAAGCACTCCCCCATCATCGTGCTGCTGTCAAACCCCAACGCTGGTTTCAAATGGTTGCGGCGGCACTCGCACGCTGATAATGTCTTATCGGCCAAAGGGTGCGCCCCCACCACTCCGAAAATGAGTGAAGAGCACCACCCTGAAACCGTCGTCAGCGTCGTTGCGCACCACATAACGAACAAAACAAAGTACTCTCGCAAATCATCCCTCCACAGCAACAACGAAAGTCTGTTGCCGCCGCGTCATCACGTGCGATTTTTCCTTCGGGCGTCTGCGAGTCTTCTCACCCACCCAGGCGGAGTGCCCCCCGATGAACGCAACGCGCCCCGTGTAGCCCGACTCACAGTCCGCTGCCCCGGCTGGGACGGGGGTGTCCGTGCGCGCCGCAGGGGCTCGTCTGACCTTGCTTCACCGCGCTGCTGGTGACTGTAACGTCAGAGGAACGCGTTCGGCTACGAGACCCACGCCAAGCATTGAGAACGGGGGGACCATGCAGGGACTACTTTTTTTTTGGGGGGGGGGGGGATTGAAATGTATTGCCCCCCCCGCCACTCCGTACAACAGTTGGGGGGAAGGGGGTGGGGGCAGGCAGCGACCCCCCTCCACGACCCCCCCCCTCACGTCCTCACTTCTCTGCTCACGGTGACCTCTGCCATTCGCGGTGACCTCCGCGTGACCTCCGCGTGACGCTCACGGGAACACGATGTTGTTGACTTTGTTGTTGGTCGTGGTGGAGGAAGTTGTTGAAGAATGTGGTGGTGGTGGTGATGGTGACTTTGGTGGTGGAGAATGTGGTGGTGGTGGTAGTGGTGCAGTTGTTGGCACAGTAAGGAGCACATGTGGTGCATCTGCCAGTCATCTCAGTCGATCCCCGGCACCTGGATCTGTCCCGTGATCGCCTGTAAGCGAGCCTTCGACACTTCACGTGGCTTCAAAGTGCACCTAGCTTGGCACAGGCGCCGTGGTGACGTCACCGCCACTCAGCGGCTGTTGTTGTTGGCGGCTGTTGTCATTGTTGTTGTTTGCTGTTGTTGCAGTTGTAGGTAATGATGGAGGTGGTGGTTTTGTGACGAGGGTGGATTTCCCGACGCTTCTGTGTCGCCTCGTGGCGCCGGGTTGAGGAGTCTACAAACTCCACCCCGGGGTTTCCAGTCCTCGGGTGATGACGCGCGCGGATGGATTCATTGAGGAACTGGAATGCGATGGCAGTGACTTCAGCATCAGACGGGAGCATGCACACAACCAAGGCAAAGATCCCTCGAGTAGCCCACGCAGCCTGTTGGGGAAAGTGCTGCAAGCGAGCAGCCTTTGTCTCCCCAGTAGCGATGTTTACACACCGCACCAGGTATTCCATTAAGGCTGACTTGACCTAGGGGTGGCCCAGGATCGGTTCAAATATGCATCACTGCTGTTGTTCGTGAGTGGAATTCGAACTCGGGTAGCTGGTTTCGTAGTGCCACCGCTCCCAACAAAGACAACGATCCCCTGTACAGCGTTCACAGACTTTTGAGGCAAGTGCTGTTAGCGAGCACCTATGGAGGCCGGTACCCACCATCCCTGGCCGCCTTTTTCTCCCCAGTGGCGATGTTTATACAGCTAAAATGTTGAGGCCGAGTCGACCTAGGGGAGGCCTAGGACCGGTTCAAATCATCGACAGCGGTGTTGGCCGTGAGCGGGAATTGAACTCGGGTTGTCGGGTTCGTAGCGCAACGCACTAACCATTGCGCCACCGCTCCGAACACACGGACGCACAGACAACGAAATCAATACACAGCCGCCTTTGCCTCCCCGGTGCCGAGTCGAGCTAGGGGAGGTCAAGTATGGGAGGTGCTAATGGGCAGCTTTTTGCGCGTAGCACTGCGCCACCGCTCCCCGCGTCACGCGCACGAACAAACACCTGCGTCTTACCTGCGTCTTACCTGCGTCTTACCTGCGTCTTACCTGCGTCCTACCTGCGCAGGTGGTACGGACAACCGAGACCCGCGGCTCGACACAGCGAGGGGTGTTGGTTCGCCAGTGATGGATTGCGGGGAGCGGTGGTGTAGCGGTTAGCGCTACGCTGCGCTGCGAACCCGGCGACCCTAGTTCGATTCCCGCTCACGGCCAACAGCATCGGTGACGATTGTCTGAACCAACCGATCCTGGGCCTCTCCTAGGTCGACACGGTCTCAAATGGGTACCTGGTGTCGCGTATAGACATCGCCACTGGGGAGACAAAGGCGGTCGGGAGTGGTTCTGGCCACACCACCCCCTCGTGTGCCGTTCCAGATTTCATAGGTGCTCGCTAACAGGCACTTATCCCAAAGTGTGTAAAGGCTATATGGGAGATTTTTATATTTGTCTTTGGAGTGATGGATTGACGGACGCATACGCATGGACACAGATACTCATTGAGGCCGAGTCAACCTACCGGAGGCCCAGGACCGGTCACCAACGCCGGTCGTGAACAAGAATGGAACTAGGGTCACCGCTAGTGCAGTCGCTCACTCAGGGAACCACTGCACTACCGCGACCCATTCGGGCGCTTATACGCAGACACACGAATTCAAAACGGATACACACACGGATACGCACATACACACTCGCACGTACATTTACACACAGAGACACACTCACTCGCACACACAAATACAGACACGCGTGCATGCAGACACACATACTCACACACACGAACACTCGCACACACGGTCAGACGCACGCACACGCGTGCGCTCGTGCACACACGCGCACGCATACTCACGGGGACACACACACTCACGCGCGCTCACGTAGCCCCAATCACACCTACAGCCATATATATACACGCATACGCATATACTCATACCCATATTGACACACAAAGATAAAAGATAAAGATCCCCCGTATAGCCTTAACAGACTGTAGGGGCAAGTGCTGTTAGCGAGCACCTATAAAAGCCGGCACGTCACACGAGGGGCTGGGTAGCCCAACACCACGCGTGGCCGTCTTTGTCTCCCTAGAGGCGATGTTTACACACACCGCACCAGGTACTCATTTGAGGCTGAGTCGACCTATGGGAGGCCCAGGACCAGTTCAGATAATCGTCACCGGTGTTTGCCGTGATAGGGATTCGAACTCGGGTCGCCAGGTTCGTAGCGCAACTCCCCACCATATCGATACAGGGCCACACGCTCACACCCGAATAGACACAAAAACAGGCGCACATACATACAAAGACAAATATCCCCCGTATAGCCTTCACAGACTCTTGGGACAAGTGCTGTGAGCGAGCACCTATGAAAGTCGGCACGGCACAAGATGAGGTGGATAGACAGCACCACGCCCGGCCGCCTTTGTCTCCCCTCAGCGCCATGCCCTTATTGAGTGCTGAGTCAACACACGTGGAAGTCCAGGACTAACGGGAATATTCGCCCCTGTTGCTGATCGCGAGCTACAATTGAACGCGGCTCGGCGGGTTCGTAGCGCAGCACACTAACCGCTACGACGCCGCTCGCCACACACGATGACAGGAAGACACATAAACAAACACATTCTAGCACCAAACAAAGATCCCCCGTAGAGCCTTTAATATACTATTAAGAATACGAATTCCTGTAGTCACGAAAGCTTTAAGTCAACCATTAATATACTGTTAGGACAAGGGCTGTTAGCGAGCACCTATGAATGCCGGCACGGCACACGAGGGGTCGGTGGCCAACACCACACCCGGCTGCCTTTATCTCCCGAGTGGAAATGCTTATGCACCACACCAGGTACTCATTTGAGACTGAGTCGACCTAGGGGAGGCCCACGACCGGTTGAAATATTCGCCACTGTTATTGCTCGTGAGCAGAAATCGCCAGGTTCGTAGCGCCAGCGCGCGAACCGCTACACCCACAGACACGCAGACAGATACGCAGACAGACACAGACACGCAGACAGACACGCAGACACACCGCACGCCCTATCTCACCCCGCGTCTCACCGCGTCACCTCCCCTCGCCTCTCCTCGCCGCTCATCTCAGCCCCGCAAGCCTCCGGGAGCTTCCGGGAGTCGCCACGCAGGATCCTGGCTCGCGGGCTTCGTCAGCGGTCCGGGAGATCAGAGACGGGGTCCCTGGGCCCCCCCCCCCAGAACCCCCTCACCCTCTCGCCTCCCAATCACCCGGACGGAGGCAAAGCGGGGGGCCGCGAAATATTCCTCAAGAGCGGCCAGGTGACGTCCGCGCCGAAAGAGCGACAGAGACAGAGACCGAAGAGGCGGGAGGAGACGAAGAGGAGAGGAGCGAGGGGCACGGAGGGAAGGAGTCTGAGTCTCTCTATGCGAGTTGCGCTATCGGTCACCTGAGCGCACCTCCCACCACCTCCTTCTCCTCCTCCCCCGGACTCGCGAGGTTTACACGCGCGCAGACACACACACACACGCGCGTGCGCGCAGACACACACACACACGCGCGCGCGCACACACACACACGCGCGTGTGCGCAGACACACACACACGCGCGCACAGACACACACACACGCGCGCACAGACACACACACACGCGCGCGAGCGGATGGGCGGGCAGGCTCCGGAGAGAGGGAGGTGGGGAAGGAGAGAGAGAGAGAGGGTTGGAGGGAGAGGCGTGCGATCGGGAGAGAGAGAGAGAGGGAGCGAGGGAGGAGAGGTGGGGATGTTGGGGGTGGGGGGGGTGGGTAGAGAAGTGGGTGGCGGGAGGGAGGAGGTGGAGGAGGGCAATGAGCGTCACGCGTTATCTGCGCGCGTCTGCAGTGCGAGAGTCTGGAACGCCGAGTGAGACCTCGACAGCTGTGAGCGCGCGGGGTGTGTGCCGGCGTAGGGGGGAGGGCGTGTGGGCGAGAGAGAGAGGAGGAGGAGGAGGAGAGATGGCGGGATTGGCTGGCAGTGTTGCGAGTGCAGGACACGCGTGGGAATTCTCGCGGCTCCCGGAGAGGCGCAAGAGGGCGAGGGGAGAAGTTCAGCGGCCTCGCGCGCCACCGCAGCTGGCGAGCACCCGGCCTGAGACGACGATAGACGCCGAGCGGCCAGTAACGGACAGCGCCGTTCTATTGACAGTACAGCGGATAGGAGCTCACGCGTTTCGTGCGTGTGACGAGGTTTGGGGGAATTTTTTTTTTTTACGAAGCAATAAAATAAATTGACGTACAGACGGAGATGCTGAGTGACGGGAAGATGCATCACGACTCGCAGGGGGGGGGGGGGGGAGCGGCGCACGACGAGAGGTAGAGAGAGGGCTAAGCTAGGATTGTTGGACATGTGATGAGACTATAAGTGTGTGTTTGACTGGGGAGATTCTACGTACAAGAAGGCCGTGGGAGACCGCGGTTTTAAGTCGCAGGAGAGATTTTAACAACTGGAATCAACCGGGAGGAGAATCGAAGGCAGAGTTCCTTGGTAAATATCATGGACAGAGCAACGTGGAAGGGAGGTCACGATCACGATGAGAAGGACACGGCACATGGAAAGACAGGGAGAGAGATCCGAACCTTTGGTTAAAGAGGCTATGTTGAATAGGCTATGTATGTATGTTGAAGAGGCTATGTATGTATGTTGAAGAGGCTATGAATGTATGTTGAAGAGGCTATGTATGTATGTATGTTGAAGAGGCTATGTATGTATGTATGTTGAAGAAGCTATGTATGTATGTTGAAGAGGCTATGTATGTATGTATGTTGAAGAGGCTATGTATGTATGTTGAAGAGGCTATGCATGTATGTTAAAGAGGCTATGTATGTATGTTAAAGAGGCTATGTATGTATGTTGAAGAGGCTATGCATGTATGTTAAAGAGGCTATGTATGTATGTTGAAGAGGCTATGTATGTATGTTGAAGAGGCTATGCATGTATGTTAAAGAGGCTATGTATGTATGTTGAAGAGGCTATGTATGTATGTTGAAGAGGCTATGCATGTATGTTAAAGAGGCTATGTATGTATGTTGAAGAGGCTATGTATGTATGTATGTTGAAGAGGCTATGTATGTATGTATGTTGAAGAAGCTATGTATGTATGTTGAAGAGGCTATGTATGTATGTATGTTGAAGAGGCTATGTATGTATGTATGTTGAAGAGGCTATGTATGTATGTTGAAGAGGCTATGCATGTATGTTAAAGAGGCTATGTATGTATGTTAAAGAGGCTATGTATGTATGTTGAAGAGGCTATGCATGTATGTTAAAGAGGCTATGTATGTATGTTGAAGAGGCTATGTATGTATGTTGAAGAGGCTATGCATGTATGTTAAAGAGGCTATGTATGTATGTTGAAGAGGCTATGTATGTATGTTGAAGAGGCTATGTATGTATGTTGAAGAGGCTATGTATGTATGTTGAAGAGGCTATGTATGTATGTTGAAGAGGCTATGTATGTATGTTGAAGAGGCTAAGTATGTATGTTGAAGAGGCTATGTATGTATGTTGAAGAGGCTATGTATGTATGTATGTTGAATTTTTTTCGCACCGTACATAGCTAACCGTGCTTATCGGAGGGGCGGGGGGGAGGTGCTCTTTAAAAAAACAATTCGAGCCGATGGGGTCGTGTGTTGTGACCCGTTCTGGTAACGGCGGCGGCGGTCGGTGGAGGACAATTCTATCGACAACAAAAACAACAACAAAAACAACAACAAAAACAACAACAAAAACAACAACAAAAACAAAAACAACAACAAAAACAACAACAAAAACAACAACAAAAACAACAACAACAAAAACAACAACAACAAAAACAACAACAAAAACAACAACAAAAACAACAACAAAAACAACCACAACAACCACAACAACAACAACAACAACAACAACAAAAAAAACAACAAAAAAAACAACAACAAAAACAACAACAACAACAACAACAAAAACAACAACAACTCAAGATATTTGGAGCGACGACGCGGGGTGGGGGCGGGGGGACTTTGGCGCGATTGAGCGAAGCGGCGGTCGAGCCGTGCCGCGTTTGGCCACCAAAGTCAGCCCCTTTGGTGGCCAGCGACAGCCGTGCTCTATCCGCTGCTGCTGCTGATGATGACGTCGCGCGGATATCCTCAAGCCGTGCCCAGCTGGCGAGCGCCTTGCGGCTCCCCGCAGTCCCCCCCCCCCCACCCCCTGCGGGGTCCCTGCCAACACAGGGACCCCTGGCACTGCCCCCGCACGCCTCGCCTGTACCATGCCCCCCCCTCCCCCCCATGCTCTAAAGATTGGTATAGCTGTCCAGTGCGCAGGAGGTGCAACTGCACCAGCAGCACCCCCCCCCACTCTCCCTCCCTCACGGTGCCGGAGGGGTGAGAGAAGTTGGGGGGGAGGGGCTACGGAGTGACCGGGGCCCCATCTCGTTACTGGCACCAGGTCACGTTCCAGAGTGCTCATCACACACACACACACAGACACACACCCACACACAGACACACACACCCACACACAAATACACACGCCCACACACACACAGACACACACACCCACACACAGACACACACACCCACACACAGACACACACACACACAGACACACACACAGGCACAACAACAACCGCCATTCGCCACTAAGTGGCGGTGACGTCACCACGACGCTTGTGCCAGGCCATGTGCACCTTGAGGCCACGTGAAGTATCGAACGCTCGCGGGCAGGAGGTCACGGGGCAGACCCAAGTACCACGGGTCGACTGACTAAGATGACTGAGATGACTGGCTGGTGCACCACCTGTGCCCCTACTGTGCCAATCTGCTGTGCTTTAGCCACCCGGCGCTCCGCTCGTTGTTGTGAGCGTCGCTCCTCCGCCCTCCGTTGTTTTTGGAGGGCGACTGCCTCCAACTGCCCAGTAGCGTCCTTCACGAGCCTCCTCCACAGAGGCCGATCTTGACACCGCTGGTACCAGTCATCGGCAAGTCCACTCAGCTCCACGTCCTCCTGTACCACATCACTCCATCTCTTCTCTAGCCCGTGCCGCGCCCGCTTAGCCCCCTTGATCCGGCCGAACAAAAGCTGTTTCGGCATGCGGTGGCTGGGCATGCGGGCTACATGACCCAGCCAGACACACACACAGACACACACACAGACACACACACAGACACACACACAGGGCTTGGGCCCCAGATGAACCGCAAAACCTCGCTGGTCTCGTCAAGGATCAGAGACCATCACGCCAAGTCCGATCAACGTCGCAGCGGCAGCGGCTGGTATCGGGCTGGCCATCGGACACGGACGGTGGTCACGGTATCGCACGCTTTCGGATGCGCTTCTGCGGCCGTCTGGAACGCTCTTCCCTCCGATATTAGGAAGCCACTAGGAGCTATGCACTTGCAAGTCATCTAGATTGACAAACTAATTTCTGAACCCTGCTCTTTGTGTTTAGTTTGTTGTCCTTCACCCGCACCTCCGATTAGCACGGTTGGCTACGTACGGTGCGAAAGAAGTTCAACTTGCATACGTACGTGTATATACCTAGACGTTATTGTACTTAGACCACGTGCGGGTCTTTAATTGTGTCGATAACGCCTGACTCGTATAAAGAGGACGGCAGAGCTTGAGAAATCGCTGCTGTCATCCGAGCGTGTTGTAGTTCCTCCTCCTGGCGCCTCTGAGTCGTCCCCTCCCTCTCTCTGAGTCGTCCCCTCCCTCTCTCTCTCTCTCTGAGTCGTCTCCCTCTCTCTCTGAGTCGTCCCCCTCTCTCTCTGAGTCGTCCCCCCTCTCTCTGAGTCGTCCCCTCTCTCTCTGAGTCCTCCCCTCTCTCTCCAAGTCGTCCCCCCTCTCTCTCTAAGTCGTCCCCCCCTCTCTCTCTCTCTCTATATCGTCCCCTCCTCTCTCTCTGAGTCGCCCCTCTCTCTCTGAGTCGTCCCCCCTCTCTCCCTGTCTTAGTCGTCCTCCCTCTCTCTCTCTGAGTCGTCCTCCCCCTCTCTCTCTGAGTCGTCCTCCCCCTCTCTCTCTCTGAGTCGTCCCCTTTCTGTCTCTCTGAGTCGCCCCCCCCTCTCTCTCTGAGTCGTCCTCTCTCTCTCTCTCTGAGTCGTCCCCCCTCTCTCTCTGTCTGAGTCGTCCCCCCTCTCTCTCTGTCTGAGTCGCCCCCCCTCTCTCTCTCTCTCTCTGTCTGAGTCGTCCCCGTCCTCTCTCTAAGTCGTCCCCTCTCTCTCTCTGAGTCCCCTCTCTCTCTCTGAGTCGTCCCCCCCCCCTCTCTGAGTCGCCCCCCCCCCTCTCTCTCTCTGTCTGAGTCGTCCCCGTCCTCTCTCTCTAAGTCGTCCCCTCTCTCTCTCTGAGTCCCCTCTCTCTATCTGAGTCGTCCCCTCTCTCTCTGTCTGAGTCGTCCCCCCTCTCTCTCTGTCTGAGTCGCCCCCCCCCCCCCGCCTCTCTCTCTCTGTCTGAGTCGTCCCCATCCTCTCTCTCTAAGTCGTCCCCTCTCTCTTTCTGAGTCCCCTCTCTCTCTGAG